TTTTCTTTTTACTCGTTTCGTTCTGTTTCTTTCAAAGGGCAGCTCCGGGAATTGAACGCCCGGTAGTCCGAGCCTTGCCACGGATCCGCCTACCGGTCGGCCGGGGCTCGGACTTGATAGCTGGGCCAGGTACTGGTGGTTTAACACAGGTCTGTTCCAGATAAAATAGGAAAATGCCATATTGCCGATGCTGGTAGATCACACAGAGGTGAGTCGAAAAGGTGGGTCAGAGGCCTGCACACCTCCAAACACCGCCCATTTCCCTCCATCATCCCACAAGTGACAGTGTCGTCTTGCAAGGAATGGTGGAAAGAGCGAATGAGTGATGGCAGTTGGAGGCAAAGAAGACCCACTCCCAAGTTTGAAGGTGGATATCAAGCCGGGCTGGAATGGAGCAGCGTGTTGATAGCAGAGTTTGGAGGTGGTCAGCGATGGAAGAGCGGAATGAAGAAAGTCCTTTTAGCCTTGAATGAGTGGTTGGAGCGCAACAATGTTGGAAGAAGTTGCATGACGTGTGTATTGACTTGGATGTATTGTCGTTTATAAGTAGTCGGTGACTTGTCGAAGTTGAGAGTCGATGTCGATCATCTGATGCTGAAGGTCTTCCCTTGGTTTCCCCGTCCATTGTGGATGTCGTGATTAATTGCTTGAGTGGGTGCTTTCGATTACGGGGAAGGGATGGTGAAGAGGACTCATGCCAAAGTAGTAGGGTACGTGCATTTAGAAAGGCATATCGAGAGTACTCACTCCAAAGGGGAGTGACTGAGGAATCTGCACGACCAATGCAGTGGGAGAAGTTGAGGAGAGTGGTGGAGTATATTCGAGAGAAAGTAAAAGTGCTAAAGAGGTATCTAGAAGCGCAGGCGTATCGAGATGGCGGGGCATTTTTGTATTTGTGGGAAAGTTGGCAGCGGTGTGGAAAAGGGTTGCGATTGCATATTGATCAGGGGATGGTGCGGCGAGATTATACGAAGATTGATAGACAGAGGGGACGATTTATGATCAGGTTGTGAGATCCATGTAGTGAGGGGGAGACTTTTATAGGATGGTTTTTGGATATAATGAAGAGTAATGAGAGGGTGGGACAACATCTGAGAAATGATTACATGTTCTGACCAATGGGGGGGGAGGAGGTAGTGAGTGGGTGGGTGTTCAATAAATGCAGAGAAAAGTGGTTTGGAGAGATAGGGTGTACAAAGGGGAGAGCGGGCATAACTTTAGGATAGGTTGAGTTCAAGCTGGAATAGAGGAGCGTTGGAGTTTGAGGGATATGATGAGACAGGGTACTTGGAGCAATGTTGAGACCTTCATGAGGTACGGGTATGGGATGAAGCGTGGGTGGAAGAGACAGGGTGAGAATGTTGGTGATGAGGATTTAGGCGCCGAAACAAATAGTTGTGAGACCGAGGATTTAAAGGCTAGGGGTGGCGAGGTTGACCCTAGGGCTGGGGAGGTAGGAGAATGTGGACTGGGGATGGTGAAACGGTGGATGATATTGAGGGAAAGTACTCGTGGGTACTAGGAAGTCACTGGTTGGGAAGAGGGAAAGATGAGCAAATAGTAGGTCGAGTTGGCGGTGGCTCTAGAAAGGACGGGATGCGAAAGTGAGGTGGGAGGAAAAAGGGAGGAAAAAGGGAGGAAAAAGGGAGGAAAAAGTCATCGGTATTTTTAGGATGGTAAATCGTTCCAATTAAGAGATAACTTGAAGGTGTCTATTTGTGAGGCCTTCCTGGACCAGTGTTTTGAGATAAAAATAGGGGCAGACATGGTGATAGGCAGAGGCAAAGAGGTTGATGGCTAGGGTGCCTATTTCGAAGAAAATTGCAACTTGGAGATGGCTGGCTAGCCCGCAATCTGTGTTGTCCTCAATTTTTGAAACGGAGGTGGCGCTTGTGTTAAGGGAGCGTGGTATGCAAACTGGGTTGAGGAGTACATCAAATGTGACAAGGATAGAGATGATGTCGTGTAGCCACCAGTTGAAGGATTCGTCAGTGGATTTCATGTTGAGGAGTAGTGCGATGGTTGTCTCACTGTCAGAATGAAGTCTGACATATGTGTACAGGAGGAGTTGGGGATAGGTTGAGGAGAGAAAGCGGAAAGTTTCGAGTATTGCATAAAGCTCTCTGTGAGTTGATAATGAAGTTAGCAAGTGGTCAGGGAAACATTGGTTCAAGGTGATTGGTTGATTAGAAAGATGATATATAACGACAATAATTTGGTTGCCTGATGCGTTAGTAAAGATTGAGAGGGTGGTTGAACAGACTATCCAGAGTCTTCCTGGCAGATAAAGTGTAAGACCCGCCAACAGAGATCAGTTATAAGATCATCAGAGATTTGAATTGGAAAATTTGAGTTTATCAGGGTAGATGGTTTCATAAAGTGAGGAAAGATAGAGATGGGTAGGCATGAAGGCCTTAGAAAGAGCAGCAAGTTTGCCTGCGAGCTTTACAATTGTCCTGCTAGAGGAGGGGGAGGAGGATTGAATGAGGTTGAGTATCTTGATAATTTTAACTTGTGTTACTTTGATTCGTTTGTTGTGCGAATCGAGAATGAAGTCAAGAAAGAAAATATTATGTGAAGGTAGTAGAGAGCATTTTTTTAGGCTGAGAAAGAAACCCAAGTTATGTAGCAAGGCAAAATAGTTGAAAGTTTGCCACAAGAGAAGGGGAAAATTGGGGTTAGTGAGGGCGCCAAGGGTTGAGTCGTCAATATATGAAGTGGCGAAAACGTGACGGAGACGGATTTCGGTCATTATTTCTTGCATTTTAATTGTGAAAATCTAAGAAGCGGATGAGATTTCAAAGTAGAGCGTTATGAAATGATAAGTACAACTAGTCCAATTGAAAGCAAGGTAGGGGCGGAAGTATGGGTAGATGAGTATATGATAGTATTCATCTTTATGTCAAAACAGGTAAGAAAGTCTTGAAATGAAGATCTTGAGAGGTGCGCATTAATACCATCAATTGACTCGTAGTGGAAATGAGAAAAGGTAAGAAAGAGATTAACGAAGCGGACATCCAAGATAAAGCGAGTTTTAAAAGAACTTTCGATAACAAAAATCGGTTTCACGACGATTGGGCTAGGCGATGGTTCTATGACTCCGTTTAACATCAATTGAGAGACAATTTCAAAAATAAATTGAATGTGTTGAGGACAATGAGGACGGTTGTTGCGGTTTGGGATTACAAGTGGGGAGGAAAGTTTACACCTTAAGGTGGGGGTTTTCTTGAAGTTAGATGCAGGTAAAATATGTTTGACCATTCTTCGAACCTCGATTATCTTAGAAGTAGGTACATAAAAAGTTTCTTTGAGACTGAGCCTTACTCTGTTTTGAATCCATTGGAGCACTTAGTGTAAATAAAGTCTTGAGGAAGATGAGAGGAAAAAAAAACAATTAGAGAAATGGGGGGTGGGGGATGCGGCAAGACAATTATCAGGGTTACGGAGCGAGGAAGAAGGTTCTTGGAGTGTAAAAGTGGCGAGGCGAAAATTTGAGACAGAAGGGGATTCGGAGGATGAAAGGTTAGAAAGAATGGTGGGGATTGAAGGAACAAGAAATTGGGGGGGTCATTCGGATGATGTAGCAGAGTCAATGGTTGAGGTTCGGGTGTGGTCGTGATTCTTGTGTTGTGGGTCTGAGTAGAAATTTTTGGACGCTCTGTAGAGGTCGTAGCCATGATCCTTATCTTCATCGTAGTATCTCTTAGATGAGGAAGAAGATCTTTTGTAGTCTTCAGTCTTATGGTGATCATCCTTCATGCAGTATGACGAATATTCGAATTTCGGGATGTTGAGCC